ATAAATAAATAAATAAATAAATAAATAAATAAATAAATAAATAAAACTTACAAAAAAAAAAAAGGCATAGGCTTCTAGGTAATGGCTTATGGCGTTCTGAAAGCCAAGTGAATTGTAGGTTCACCGCCTACGGGCCTCTATTCCACTGCTTAGGGTAGTTAGTTGCTCTTCAGAATAGAAAGGATAAGTTGAGGGTCCCAACATTCCAATAGAAATCCTTTTGGTAACAAATGATCTGGTTTAAATCCAGTTTTGCAGACCAGCAGGTCTGTGGGGAATCATGATTATATGCCGAATCCAATACTGGGGCATTTTCTAAACTATCAGAAACGCATTGTGTGAACAGTCTCTTGAAATGAACTCTCTTTCAGTTCCATCAAGTGACCTTATAAAGAGCAAACTGTCTGCAACGATATGACCGTGTGTCTTGTCGTCGCCTGTAAAATGATAATAGAGATTTTAACACCAGCTGCAGCTAATTAAATCTTTTGAATATGACCGTTTACACACCAAGAAATGCCACATTTGCACGAGTCAGGGTAGTAATTTTGATTACTTTATTAACGTCCTTACTCATGCAAATTCACTCCAATAGAAGAATTAATTCATTTTTCTTTTTCACTGAATGCAAGAAATAATTTCTATAAGATTTTATCGAAAGTTGAAGATAGTGATATGCCAAAAATAAACTAGAATTTTTAAATGGTGTGTACAAGTAAACTATTAGTCATACCTGTTGTCCACAGAACTTTGAATTTTGAGCAAGTAATGAGGAATACTCTATACAAGTCTTTTGACGGAAACAGCAATGATCAGGAAAACTAAAATTGTTAGTGATTATATTGTTAAAATCTAGGATATCGTCTATTCTAATAAAATTAAGTCACTGATTATAAATCATTGTTCCTTTCCAGAATTATGAAGCTATTTAAGCCAATCTGTTTAACAATCAGACAGATGAAACAAATTATTTAGCAATATATTGAGTTATTTATAGAACACATTTTTCTACTGGTCCTTTCATCTTTTTAAAGTTTTAATTAAACAAAGATATAAATGAAACTTTTGGTCAAGAAATAGTCTGTGAAGTTTGCTCTCAAAATATGATTTGATCCATATACCTGTGAAACTTTAAAACACATGTTTTTAAAAAGTGAATGTGAATGGTTTTTTTTTGAGTTATAACGTGTTACCTTGTATCTGTGAAAGATGCAGTACATTTTTACTATGAATTTTTAATCTGTAAATGTGTAGTGATTTAGGTGGATTGTATTACCAATGTTTGAAATCACTAGTTATCAAAACTGGAAGATTTCCTCAATAAGGAAAATAAACTGTGAAGAAATTAAATGTTCCCATATTAGTTGTCTTAGAGACTCATTCTAGGGGTTTTCTGATTAGTACTCTATGGAAAACAATTTTAAGAGACATTTTTGGTTGTTGTTGTCTGTTTTTAGATCTAAACCTTTCGGTAGAAATTCTTAGTCATCTATTTTATGACAGGTTTATTTAATGTAGTAAGGTCACATACCTAGATATTAGGGGGAAAAAAAAGATTCAAAGCACTCTTTTTCATTGTGTTATGGGGCACATTATGTTACAAAACAGATGACTCCCCATTAAAGAAGGAAAGTTGGTTTTACTTATATGAGTAACCAGTGTGCATAAAATAAGATTTATATTTTATTATGTTAGTTCATGTATTAAATTATTTGAGCATCACATCCTTAAGAGTTAATTATGACATTAGTATCTCCACCTCCTAGCTGAAAACTCTGAAGCAAAAGGAAATTAAATAAAGCAAATAATTGGATTTTAAAATCCACATAAATATTATGTAACAGAGCGGTATCCACAAAGTCCTTCTGGCCTCAAGTCCAGATTTCTTTCTTGTATTAATTAAGGATTTACATTTTATTCCCAATGAACGGGAACAAAAGAGATTTGGGTTCACAATTCGGACAAACACCCATATCCATGGAACACATGGACGCAGCCTAAATGCAAGAAGAAATTAAGCTGCAAAGCCAGAAAGGGCTGAAAAAAATTGTTTTTACAAACAGAAGTAACTTGTCACATTGGCCAGGTCTAAACTTGAATTTGAAGTTTAAGAAAGAGGCCTTCTCTTGCTTTTTGATACCGTATTGCTTTGTTCTTTTAATTTTGTTTTACTGGAGTCTATTTTAATTTAATTTTTTTATGGCACTTTGAATGAGAAAAGTCAAAGTTCATCAAAGATGAACTTCGGAAAAAATAAGTCATATTGATTTAGATTTCCAGTCTGTTTATTTTAGCTAATCCAAAATTTAACCTAGCAATATCTCACCGAAACCCAACAGAACCTCAAAATTTTTGTCATTCAGAATGCTGTTTCTAAGAAAAGATGACTGGAGATCTTTTTGCTTAATGTTTTTTCTAAAAGGTATGTGCACTTTCCAGAGAGACAGAGACAGTGAAAGGGAAAGTGAGAAGTCACCACCCGGGGAATGGCCAACCTGAAATCTCTTCTCTTCCATTCTCCTCCTGGGATTTTAGGCACATAGGCAGATACTCTTCATGTGATTTTTCAAGCTGTCATGTCTGGGACTCAAACCATAGTAGACCATGTGGGAGTCCAGCTTCTTAACAGCTAAGCCACCTGCTGGCCCTAACTAGAGGTAGTTCAATGGAAGAAACAATACTGTATATTAGACTAAGATCTTTCATCAAGTTTTCATTGAATGGCCATCTGTATTTAAATTCATACAAAAGGAGAAATTCAGGAGAATTCTCAAATTTCTGTTATATTTATAAAAAACTTTCATAAAAGGTTAATCCAGGGAACCAGCAGTTAGCGTAATGGCTATGTCACTGGACTCCCATGTAGTCGACTGCGGTTCACGTCCCGGACCCGGTGGCTTAAAACTCATGCCGGGCGCGTGTGCATGTGTGCCCAA